ACAGTGCCCACCTCCTCTTGGTGCACGGGAGGAGCTGTAACAACAGGTTTTTGTGCATGGAAAAACACCGCCTTTGGTGACACATTTGCAGTCCTGGACAGGCAGTGAGGTCCTTTTCCCTACTTTCTATTTCTCATCCACAAAATGCTTCTGTCCAGGAGGTCCACAAAAGCCCAGCATGTTCCAGAGCTGCTCCAACCACCCTGTGTGACCCTGATCCCAGGAGAGAGGAGAAGGCAGACAGCAGGATGCAACCTGCTCACAGGGAGGTACCTCTGGCCATGCATGGTTGGCAGATCTGGGGCTGCTCCTATGGTTGGAGAATGCATACCAGCCACCCTTATACAGCCATACCCTTCCTGGAAAGGAGGCACTCGTGCCCAGAGCCACCCTAAATATGCACCAAAATGCCAGCGAGCCCTTCTGAAACCCCACGGGAGACTCTGCTCTGGCTGCCAGCTTCACATGGGGGATATAGGCTGCAGGGATGGCCCTTCCCTTAAGGACCAGCCCTGGATAAGGGGTTCCAATGTGGCTGAGCATCCTGGCACAGCACTCCCAAGCATCCGTGGGCGGCACTTTGCAGGGAGAGGAGGGGTTTGGAGCACTTGGCTCCTCTCGCTGCTGCTGCGCATCGGCACCGATCGCGCTGCCATTCCTCCCCCAAAGCTGGGAGTCCTCCTCTCACCCCAGCACGGCAGGGAGGGGGGGGGGGCTCGTGTCCCCAAGCAGCGAGTGAGGGGGATGAGGTGGGTGCAGGGATGGATGTATTAAGAGGTGGAGAAGGGAACAATGGGGAGCCGTGATGGCAGCAAAAGCGCAGGAGACGGGGAGTAATAAACGGTGAGATAAGAGAGGAGAAATGGAAGAGATCTCCAAAGGGAGAAAGGAAGGGGGAAGGAAAGCAAAGCAGAAAGAAATGAGAAACCCAGAGCTGAGAGATTTCCTCTCTCCCTGTAGTCAGGATTAAGGGTTCTCAATTACTGGCATTGCCTGAGCAAGCTAATTTGTGTCCTGGAGAAGGGGAAAGGCAGCAGGAGGAGGCATGGGTCGATGCTGGAGCTGTGCTGGGTGCTGGGCAGCACGTGTGGGCACGGCTACACACCGTGGGGCTGCACACGGGCTCCATGAGGACGTGTGATGTCAGTGAGCATGCAGTACCATACGCAGCACTGAGCACGTTCCCTGTGTCACAGCATCTGCACATGCGGCCGCGCTGGCACATGCACTGGGTGCAAGAAAGGGGAGAAAAAGGACTGAGAGCGGGGAAGCTCCCAGGGAGGAGAGCAGGTCCTGGCTGCTGGGGAAGCCTCCTGGCTCTGCCTCCCACCTCTGCTGCTGGAAGTGCTTCCAGGGACAGGGATACCACTTAAAGGGGCAGCTTGGAGGTGGCAGATTGCCTCTCCCCACTGCTCTCGGGGTATGGATCAGAAGGGGAGCATGGCCGAGCTTTGCTCAATGCATACATCTGCTACACACCAGGGAGCGTCCTGTGTGCTCTGACACAGGCAGTGCACACTGCACACACGACGTGGTACACATGCAGATCCCACTATGCTCACACAGCCTCCCGCGCTGGCATCCTCCGTCACTGGCAATGCAGCGAGGAGGCACTGATTCCTTCATCTCAGTGCTAAAGCTGAGTAGAGGTCCCCCAGTGTGGACCCAGGGCTCAGTGGCAGCACCACAAAGAGACAATGCTTTCCCTTCCACCATTGCAGCACACGACAGCTCCCCTGCCCAGCGCCGCGCAGTGCTGCAGCTGCCACCGCCTCCCCTGCAATCATCCCTGGGCCAGATCTTCCCTGCAAGCGGGAGGGGAGCATCCGTCTCCAGTTCCCTGCTCCTGCCCAGGAATGGATTCTCTGCACTGGATGCTCTGCACTGGATGCTCTGCACTGGACAGAGCAAAGCAAAGAGATAGCAAAGGGAAGCTGAAAAGCGTTGGCCAGGAATCAGCAGGCGAGAGAGAGACGAGGCTGATTTTGATGCAAAGAGTGGCAGAGAAGCAGAGAGAAGCAGGAGAGGGCTGATAGGAAGGTGCTGGGGTTTGGGGGCTCTCTGTAAATGTCTCCTGAGCATATCAGCCTGGAATCAGATTATTTCGACCAGAGCTACAGACTGAGACAGTAATGAAGAAAAACACGGGAAGGGAAGCAGGAGGTTGTGCCTTCCAAGAGGAAAGGAAGAGAGAATTCCCATTGATTCCTGTGTGCCTGCCTGCCTCAGCGTCTTGAAATAATAATTAGAAGGATCAATAAGAAATCATGTGAGGTTTGAAGATAATGAATGAAAGCAGCAGAAGAAGCAAACTGAAATGCCTTTCTCTAAAGCACAGTAAATTGTTTTTCAGGCAGGGTCTAGCCTCCATTTTAATGCTTTGCAAACAGCTCCAACCATTTTCTAAGCTTGCTTGTGGGTTCAAAACAAGACTGGTCTCTCCATTTAGAGGAGAAACACAGGCTGGGAACGGGTCCTGGAGGAGAACACTAATAAAATGAACGAGTGTGGGAAGAAATGGAGGCAATGAAATGGGGCAGAAAGCACACAGCATGCTGGCGACCAGAGAAGGGTTACGTAATAATCTTTGGGAGCGGGGACGTAGCAGCAGAGCGAGGAAACCACAACTCAACGGCAAGCGGGTGCCGGTCCACGAGCCCACGAGGCTGCTTGGTGGCAGCGTGCCCCACACCTGCAGAGTGCAACACCACGGGACACCCTCGATGGTACCAAGGCTCCAGGCAACGGCACTGTAAGCAGCAAGGATGGCAGGTGGGTGCCCCAAATCCATTCTACCTGCTACCTGCCCTGTGCCAGGCAAGACCCAGCCGTGCCCCGTCCCAGCCGTGCCCCAGAGATGCTCTCCAGCGCACAATACCTACGTTAGGTGGGATCGCAGCACTCGGCCTGAGTGATGGAAATAGCCAACCAAAGCAATGATGATGGCCAATCCGAGCGATGATGATGATGGCCAACCCGAGTGATGATGATGATGATGGCCACCGACCGCAACAACGACAGTGTTCACAATCCAATATGCCGGCATCGCCCACCACGGCCCCACTGCTCCTTAGAGGACCCCCCAGCAGCCATCCACCCCACTCCATCCAAAGTGCCAAGGAACCGCAACGTGCTGCCGGCCCGTACCTGCTCGTACCAGTCGCGGCTCGAACACGTGCACTCGGGCCACCAGCCCGGACCACTCCCGTTCACCTTGGGCGCGCTCTTCCCCGGTGGCGGCGGCGGAGGCTTCAATGCAGCGGCATCGCGGGCAGGGGGCCCCAGCTTGGCCTTACCGCGGGCAGCAGGCGCGGCCCCCCCCGGTGCCGGCAGGGTCTGAGAGCCGTAGCCACTGTAGCCGTACTGCTCGTGCTGCCACTCGCCGTAGGAGGGAGGCTCCATGCGCCGCAGGGCCGCCATCCGCGTCACCTCGTAGCACTCGGGGCACTTGCAGCAGTGGTGGTGCTTGTGCATCGCTGCCCTCACACCATAGAGCCGGCAGGGTGGGAGGGAGGGAGGGAGCGGGAGGCGGCGCGGAGGGATGCGCGCAGGGAGACAGGGAGGGAGGGATGCTCGGGGGGCGGCAGCGGCCCCCGCCCCGCGCCAGGCGCGCCCCCGGCCCCGAGAAGCAGGAGGGGTTACGGAGCAGGGAGGCTCCGCGGCGTCGCGCCGCTCACTCCCGGGGCGGTTCAGTCCCTGCGCGGGGCTCCGCTCCGCTCGGCTGCATGGGGCGGCTCGGCACGGTCCGGTTCGGCGCGGTTCAGCCCGGTCCGGCGCGTCGCGGCTCGGGAGCGCGGAGCGCGGCACCTGCGGCGGCGCGGAGCATCCTCCGCCTCTCCCCGCCGCTCCCCGCCAATCTGCGCCGCGGAGCCTCCGCGCACCGCCCCGCACCGCCGCCCCCGGAGCGCCGCCGGGGAAAGGCGGGGGATGAGGGGCAGCGCGGCCGGGGGTTCCCGCAACCGAAGGGCAGTTTCTACTCCGGCAGCAGTGCCAAAACCCGCCCGCAAGACGCCGTGCCGTGCAGCCCCACGGCCTGCTCAGCCCCGCTTCGTGCCCCGCTGCTCCCCAGCACTTCGTTCTTGTGGGAATCCAGAAACCCTTTGCTCAACAGTTCCCTGTCTTGCTTGCAGCTGTCCTCACTCCATCCCCATCCCCTGCTCTGCACACTCAGTGCATCCCCACATCAGCTCTCATCCTGCTGTGTTCTGTTACTGTGCACTCCTGCACCGCACCCTGAAGTTGCTGCCTGTGAGCCCCTTTTTGGGGTGTAGAAATACCTAGGGCCTTCGCTGGGCCTTCCAACCACTTCTATCAGAGGATGGTAAGAGCAGAGTGTTTGAGGCTGCTGAAATCCTCACTTGTGCAGGAGGGCATCTCAGCGGTTCCACGCTTCTGGCGCAAAAGATCAGAAGAGAGTCACCCTCACAACTCAAAGGGTAGAAAGGAAGACCACTGCAGAAAACCTTATCTGACTCATTAAGGAAAAGCTGAGCCTGGCCTTCTAATTATTAACAGCTGTAATAAGATCCGTGTTGTTCCACGAGCCCTGAGTCCTCACTGTGCGGTGCAGTCCGTCCTCCCCAGCACTGGCTGCAATTCACTGCCTCTGGGCTGCCCAAGTTGCCTCTGTTACAGCGTGGATGCTACAGTCGTATGCTGCTCCTGATGACACGGAGCTGTGACACATTCACACTGAAATCCCCTGGCTCTAAGCTTAGGGCAGCTGTAAGCAGCAGGGGACTGCTATACACAGACCACAGCAAGCCTTGTAGGAATGGGCAGGCGGTCAGCAACTGCTGCCTGAGCATTGAGGGACAAAGTCCATCTTGGCTACCCAGAACCTCTGAGATCTGGGTCACTCCAGCATTAGGGATGTGCCCAGAATGTGCACGCTGCCCTGCTCCTGATGTGGCTCTGTTCACTCAGTCCTGCAGTGAGGACAGGTAAGGACATGGACTTTCACTTAGAGGAGAGAGTGTGAAAGCAAAGGACGAGACCTGGTAGGGAAAAATGCTTTAATAAGAACTGAAATAAACAATTCAGAGAAGCACTGGCTCTGTTTTTCCCCTAGCAAGTCCATGCCTGCACCTCCTGCTTCCTCCCCCAGCTCACTTATCTACAGGTATCCCATTGCCACATACAGACAGAGGCCCCATACTTCCCTTGAGCCTCAAGGAGTCCTCCCCATCTTGCACCTCCCCGCCTGCTTTTCCTGCTCTAGCTCTGTTCTGTCCTTGGTGTGAGGGTTGCTTCATTCCTCCTCATTTATGATGAGCCACACGTGTCATCTGCCAGCCCCAACCAAGAGGATTATAATCCTGGTTGCTGCCTGCACTGCTCCCTGAAGCACCGTGTGGGGCTCAGGATGCGTTACCAGGCTCATGAGGAGGTTGGTGTGGGGCCAAATGCACTTCAAGGAACCCAAGCACTCTCCAACCCGCTCTCCTCTTCCTACCAAAGCCTGCCCATCTTATTTAAATGTGGCTTTGGCAGCTGCTCTTTTTTTCAGGTGCTAATTTCAGCAAAGCATCAAGAAATCCCAGAGCTGGTGCTATTTACACGGCACGAAGGTGGCGCAGCTTTAGTGGGAGCTGCTGGCATCTCAGCCCCTGCCGTCACTTCCTTCCTCTCACACGAAGTCCTGCGGGAAGAGGAAGGCAAGTGTGAGGGATGGGCACCGACCACTGCAAGGTCAGCATGAAAGAAGGGACTGGAGCCAGCTCAGAAGGGTTTGATTCACCTGCAGCTTTCCTAGGAATGGAGGATGCTTGCAGTGTGCTCAGCCCCCCAGCGCAACCGCCGCTGCTCCAAAGCCATGCGCTAGCTAGAGCAGAGGGGCTAATGGAAGGTATCACCCTTGTAACGCTGTGGAGGATGGGATCCTGAGCTCTCAGCGCTCTTGGCACAGTTGCCAAACAAATTAATTCTCCTCCAGGGCAAAACTGTTTTCATTTTATTAATGAGCGCTGATCCACTGCCCAGTGCCACAGTTCCATCTCCTCTCTTGTGGCAGCAACTTCACGAGGCTCTTCGATCAGCATCAAGAGCTGCCTTCCGCAGTTGCAATCGCAGCAAATGAGCTATGAAATATTCCCTGCTTTGCTGATGGTGCTGAGCACCACAGCTTCACACCAGGGACCAACAGTAGGTCCCCATGGAACAGCCTGAGTTCTCTTTGTGCAGAGGCTCTGTTTAGCAGCAAGCAATTGCAGTGGGCATGGTGCATGGACACAGCCGCTCTGCTCAGCTCCTGCCCTGAAGCTCACACTCCTGCTCACAGGGCAGAGGGCTTTGGGGTGGTCTGCAATGCGTAGCCACAGGGGAATCATATCATGCATTTCAGAGCTGAACTGCAGTTTTAAGCGTCAAAGGCACAGCTGGAAGCCCATAAAAACAGGGAAAAGGCCCTTACCTCGAATTAAATATTAACATGACTCAGTTCTGCACAGGCATGGCAATAAAGCACTGCCACGTCCCATGGGCTCCGGGTGCCCACTTGCATTGTCCCTGTAATCAGGGGGTCAGGGCGGTCAGCCATCCAGGGTAGCAGCGTTCATCTGGGGTACGTGGGGACCCAGCGGTGACCAGAGCCAGCCCCGATGAACGGCAGGTGGTCGACCGCCCCGGCTCGGCCCTACATTTCTGCACCGCCGCGTCCCCTTTAAGGGAGCGAGTGCAGCTCGGAGTTTCTGAATGGCTGTCCCCGCCCCCCGCCCGCCTGCCCGCCGTTCAGCCAATCAGCGGCCGTGCCGCAGGGCCGCAGCCAGCTCATGGGCCTCTCTTAAAGGCGCAGTGTCTCTTTTAAACTCTTCCCCTCCGCCGCCTGCACGCAAAGAGCAGAAAGGAGTGTTTAGGAAGCCCTGGGGTGACCTTGAAACGTGCGCCCACGCGTGGGGCAGACAGAAGGTGCAGCTCAGGCTGACAGAGGTACGGACGCACTGACAGACAGCCGTGTGTCAGCACTGACCCACCTGGCACAAGCCCGGGGTGACAGGTGACTCTCCCCACCTGCAGGCTGGGACACAGCAGCTCAGGTCCCAGGGTCTGGCTGTTGTGGGAGGCTCATGGATGTGTGACAGCAGAGAAATGGGACAGAGGCTCTATTGCCACGCTCTTGCACCAAACCAGCCCCACGAACACACTCCTACAGCTCCAAAAAGGCACAAAACCTCCCTGCAAAAACATCATGAGAGAGCTTACAAAACACGTCCCTGCATGCATGGGACACAGCAACATGGCACGCAGGGACCTGATGGCATCAATGATGATGCCGGCTCAGGAGCAGGCTGTGCCTCCCTAGCACCTCAGTGCATCCTTCCCTTGGCTGCTTTATGCAAACTCTTCTGCATGTGATCTGCAGGAACCTGGCTGCGAAGTGACCCAGTCTGAAAATGACCCTGAAAGGGGAAGAGACATGTGGCAGGACATGGCTGTGATGCTGGCAGAGCTGAGTCCAGCTTCGGGTACACACAGGTGGGTGCCTGATGGTGAGGCTGGACACAATGCTCTGTATGCCAGTGCTGCGGGCACCAGAATGCCTGAGCTGTGCCAGCCCTGAGAGCTATCTAGGCCACAGAGCACAGGGGTCCTTTGCCTGAATCTCAATGCTTGGAAAGATTTCTTAGGTGCAAAGCCAGCAAAGTTCTTGCACGATGCTGAATGCCTGCAGGCTGCGTGGTTACAATGGGTGCTGGAGTGAATCCGTGCATCCTTGCAGCAGGGCTCTGGGTTGGTCTGAAACCATTGCTGCAGCCACGTGTGGTGCAACCACTTCAGAGCAGGCAGAGCAGTGCAAGAGGCAGCAGCACGTAGCAGAAAGCCTTAAAACAGGGTCACACTCAGATTCACAAAAGGGACGATTCCCAAACCTGCACTCATCCACTGCCCTCATTCCCCTGCAGATTCCCCTATCTCCTACAAAAGCCACAGATAATGGACCTCTCAGCACAGCTCAGAGCTTATCCTCCAAATCCCAAAGACTAAAAACCCTCCTGAGCAGTTATCACGGCTGCTCTATTTATAACAGCACTGGTGATGCCTCTTTCACCACCATTCTGATTCCATCCTTCCCAACACCATTAAATTCAGCAACGTTTTCAAGGCTCCAGCTAGGAAGCAGCTGGCCTACCAGGCTCTGCCTTCCAGCCCAGTTTGTTCCTTTGACAAAATGGAGAGGGGAGCCCATTTGCTTTGCAGAAACACACCTGATTCATAATCGGCCTCCAGAGACCAGCATCAAAGTTGCTTCAGTCCCCATCCTGCTCAGGTAGTCTCAGCTCCTGCTTTCAGAGCTAAGCCCTGGGAAAGCTTGAATCTCAATGCTTACATAATGCCAGGAGCCCTGCTCTGAGGAGGTCAATGATCTGGAAAGATGGACTCAGAGAGCAGCTGAGTGATGAAAGCATGGCTGTCTATGGGGCAGCCCCAGCACTGCACGCGCTCGTACTATTACCAAACAAAATAACTGCCAAACAGCAACGATGACTTGAATGAACGGACAGACCAACAGCCCCATCCCCAGCAGAACCCTCCTGTGCTGCATAGCCAGAAAAACCTTACAGCCTGCTGTGGATCTTCCTTTTGCCACTGGTTTTAGACAGAAAGTCCCTGAATAGAGAAGGAACAGATGGCTCCACGTGATCTGTGTTTGACAGGCTGGTGGCTCCATCAAATTCATCCTTTGCGAAAGCTGTACATCGAGCTGGGAGAACTGAAGTCTAAGCATCTCCTTGTTCATCTCTGCAGCAAGAATAGCAAGAGCCTCTAGTAAAGCTGAAGCCATTCAACCCCAAAACGTCCACCGAAGTGACAGCTCTCCCTGACACAGCCCATGCTGAAATCCCCTTTTCACAGCAGCATCCTCCAGACGTGGGCAGCGGCTGCCCAGCTGGGTGTCTGTGCTGCAAGGGCTGATGTGCATGGCTGAGTGACAGCAGACGGATGGACAGACAGATGGACATCCTCAGTGCTTTGGCATTCGAGGGGAAGCAGACAAGCGTGGTGGTGCTGACAGGGCAGCCCCCGAGCTGAGGGTCAGGGCAGACACGTGCATCTTCTTCAGCACTGACAGCAGCAGGGAGGGAGTTCCTGAGAGCCTGCATGGCTAGGCCACGTCCTCCCTGCGATGGCAGGAAGGGGACATTTTTGGCCTTTGCCAGAACAGCCTCCAGCTGGCTGGGTGAGAGGCAGCACCTCTGCGGGCAAGGTTTCCCACCCACCGGCAATGCAGAAGCACACGAGGCACAACCGCTTGCTGAAGCAGCTCCTCCTTCACTCTGAGAGCTGCTGGCACTCAGCATCGGCTGTTGGGATCGGCATCGCCGTGCGGGGAGGGACGCGCAGGGCAGGCTGCGGTGGCACGGTGACAGAGATGAAGTCAGAGCGGCTCCGTGAGGGGCCGAGCAGCGCTCCCTCGCAGGCGCAGCGTTTCTGCTCATCAACGGTATTGTTCCTCCCGCATTCATCGCTCCAGCTGGCTGCTCTCTGCTCCCCGAGCCGGGAGAGGGGGGTGGGAGGGTGAGGATGATGCTTTCAAAGAGACGAAGCCTTCCTGCCACCCCCTGGGCGCAGGCGAGCAGCGCTGCAGGAGCAGCCTCGGGTTCCCCGCACTGAAGCCCCAAAAACTAAAGCAGAGAAAGGCTGACGCGGAGGATTTGGCTGACAAAACCCCACAGAGCGTGCAGGATTGTGCATCCACGGGGTGTTGCAACTATCTGCATCCTTCTGTGGGCTGAACATCGCTTTCATGGAGGGATGGCTTCCATGGAGGGATGGCTTCAGCCTCCGAAGCACACCGACGTTGTGTGTGTCGGTCCTGCTTCCTGAGCAGCAGCCATTTGCACGGCACGGGGCTGCTCGGAGTGCACGGAGCTGTGCCAGCAGACAGAACATTTCCTGTTCCTGGAAGCATTGGTGCAGACAGGCCATTCGTTTCTCGTGCGCCTTCCTGGCTAAGGCAGGTTACAGTGACTTCCACTCTGCCATCACCACTGCAGGCAGGGGAGAGGCTGGAGCCAGGACAACAGAAAACTTATTTACAATGATGGATGCAGTAAGAGAAGCAGGCAAGACACGCCAGCTTGTCTCCTTGCCTCTTCTCAGCTGTGAGATATCCACTGGAGCCCTTGCTCGTGGGCTGATAGCACAAGGGATGCAGCTGCTCTGCCCTGCCTTGGCGCCCAAGTGCCCTATTATCATTGATTATAATCTATTATAAAAGCTTCCTCCATTCTTCTGAGTGCCATTTGCAACTCAAGTGCTTTAGAAATACAGCACCAAAAGCCAGGAACAAGAAGCCACCAAATAGCTGGGCAGGAGTTGGGTGTGGAGGGCCATCCAGTCCCATGACATCCTGCATACAGGGATGCAGGACAAAGCGGGTCTTCAGCAATAATGATGATGTTCAGATGAGGACAGCTGAGGGATGGGGCTCATCTCCATGGCCAACCCTTCACCTCCCAGCTTGGGATGTTTTCAGTTCGGTTGTGCCCTTGGAGAGGAGCAGCTCCGAGCCTGCACTGCTCCGAGCTTCCAGCACTGCTTGGTCCCTGTGCCCACAAAAGCTGCCCCATGGACAGAAGAGCCCCAAGCACAGCCAAGCACTGCACAGCAACATCCCAAAGGTCTTCCCTCCAGGCCCCTGCTCTGCAACCATCCAGGTTGGAAAAAGTGTGGGTGTGAGTGCTCTGGCTGAAGGCGCCCATCACCCCAACCTGACCCCAGACAAGGAGAAGGTTGAAAAGAAAAGGAATACTTCAGAAAAGAATGACAGGAACGATTTCAGGGCTGGAACAACACTGAGCGAGTGAGGAAGCCAATCTGTTTAGTTTATCTAAGGGAAAGTTAAGAGGGAACACAGACACATCTATAAATACCGACATGTTGGGAACAGTTCTGATTGCTGCGGCCCTTTATCCTGGCAAACAAAGGCAGCAAAACCTCCTGGGGCTGGGAGCTAAAGAGAGAGGAATCCAGGCTAGCAGTAAGGTGCACATTTTTAATGGAAAGGATAAATGACCATCAGGAGAGCCGGATTATCACACAGCAGATTCTCCACCGTGTCTCAAAATCAAGGGGAGGTGTCTGCATCTCAGCCAGGTGTGTGAGGCTGAATGCTGTGCTTGTAGATTCTTGCCCCACATCCAGGAGTGCAACCCAGGGACACCAGGGTGGAACACAAAGAGGAAGGCTCCATTTGAAATCCCAGTGGATGAAGTAATAAAAGCAGGTGAATTGCCAGCATGTGCAAAGTTTTTACTGCTGAGACCACCACCAAGGGTGGGCTGATTGCAGACTGCCCCTCTTGTCTCCATTTAATCACAGTCCCCAATATTCCAGCACTGGTAAGGATTTGGTGAGTGTTTGAAGACGCAGAGAGGAGGGAGAGGAAAAGGAGAAATTCAACAGTAAGGAAAAAAAAAAATGGGGCATCACCCATTTTATTGCAGTCTAAAGTGAGAAGGGAAACATTTAAAACGGGAAGAAAAGCAGCAGTGTGATTTTCACATGTAAAATAATTTGGAAGAAGAATCCAATCTAGCAAACAAGGACTGATTAAAGCTGTGCCAAGAAAAACAAAGCCTTCGTGTTATTTTACGTCTGGTGAGCTCCATCCATCACAGCCACTCCATCCCTCCCTAAAGGCTCACAGTGCATTTTGCCCTTCACTCGTCCCTACAACCAACATCAGGAACGGAGCCCACGCGACGCGCTCACACCAGGAGGGAGCTGAGATTTACGACCCACATCCAGATAGATGGCAAACAGCAGAGAAATGCTCCTGGTATGCTGAGGAATGGACCTGCCATTGAGGAGCTTGGAGAAAAAGGTGAAAATACGCGAGGTGGGAGTAAGATGGAGATATATGGGGACAGGGCTGGGAGGATTTCCATCCTGCGCCGCGTCCATCTGCCTTCCCACCGCTGACACTGGACCACACGAGCGCTAAAGCGCGGGGATGCTGTTAGTGTTATTGCCACGTTTCCCAGCCTGAGCATCGCCGTCCCAATGGGAAGAGCCCAAGGAAACGCCAGCCCCAGGCACCTTCCCAGCCCCATCCCGCAGTGCTATGGGCACGCAGCCCCAGTGCTGTCCCCGCGGTGGCAGCCGGTGGCCGGGTGGGACGCGGTGCGGGGGCTCACCTGTGGCAGGGCACTGCGGGAGCCCAGCACCAGGCTGCAGACGCTGGTCGGTGCCTCCGTCCGGCGTGCTGTCACCCTCACCAGCCTTGGGGGAGTCCCCGGTGTCACCGCCAGCAGCCTTTGCTCACCATCCTGGGCTGGTGGCTGCAATGAGACCCGGGATATAGAGGTGGGTAGGGGAGGGCTGTGAGCCCCTGGGATGCATACAGGGCAGGGAGACTCCGCTGTTGGCTGTTGGTGGATGATTTTAGGTCCCTTCCAATTCAACCCGTTCTATGTTCCAGCAGCGTGAGATGTCTCCGTGCATCTCTTTGGGGAAAGAAGGAGGGATGTGATGGTGTCCGTGTGCTTGGGCAGGTGGGCCGCACTGCTGAGAAAGGGTCTCTTGCAGCCCCAGAAAACTAAATAGGATCCTGGTGTCTGTAGCTACAGAAATAAGTCGTAAACCTGCTGAAAACTGATCCAATGCCATAGACCAGACCCGGAGCTGCGAGGTAAGGATTGGAGCAGGCCTGGAAAAGCAAAGCTGCCCCTACCCCATCAAGGCAATTCAATTTGCTTTTGTGCCTGTGAGACAACTCGGAGCCTACTGCTCAGTTGCTGCCTCTCTGCCTGGTATCACTTAAAAGACTGTTGGAAATTAAAGAGAATGCAAATAAGAGACGTGGAAGTTATCAGAGAACTGGAAAAAATCCTGGAAAAGGAAACTTGAAAGGCCTAACTTCAGTTATCAAAAGCAGCTTGCAAGGTAGCTCAATCAGAGCCCCAGTAACCCACAGCAGAAAGCAGAGCTAGAGCTGAAGTCATTTACATTAGGAATAATTCAATTAACGCTCATGAATGAGAGATGTTGCCTAATTATTGAGGCAAGCTGTGACAGAGGAGGTGTGGAAACACGCTGCTGGCATGGGAGCTGATGCCAACCTGTCCCCTTTGCAGGGAACGGAGCGGCTCTTACCTCGAGGGGGCCGTGGGGCTCTCTGGGGCTGAGGTGCTGGGCTGTGCCACGATGCACTGCTGGGCTGGGAGGCTGCAGGGGTGCTGAGCGCAGTGTGAAGTCGTAGAATTCGTGGATATCTGCAAAACAGCACAAGAAACATCATCAGGAGTGGGCAGAAAGCGTAGTGCCAGTGCCCTGCATTGGGTGCAGGGTCTGCAAGTGCCCCCTCCCAACTCTGCCAGGAGCATCGTCCCCTCTCTATCCGACCCACGGGGCACTGCAGGAAGCAGTGGGGCTGCTGCACTTCCTAATGGAAACATGCAGCAGCCCCAGCCCAATGCTGCAGGAGCAGCAAATCTCACATCGCTGCGCTTAAGTGTTTAGAAGGGAAACTACAGAAAAAGTGAGAAGATCTTCAGAAAGAAACTGGAAGGGGTGACAAAGAGGGTGGGAAGCAGCAAAGCCTATTTAAAGGCTCTGCATCGTGACATCAGAGCACGCGTGCAGCGTCGGTTGGTGGATGTTACATGGCAAAAAGGAGGAAAGCACTGCAGGAAAAGGGGGCGTTGAATGGGAAGAGGTATGCTCCTAAATAGCTGAAACCGTGTTCAAGTGAGAAAACCAGAAAGGATGGTAAATGCTGCCAGGTTAAATGTACCACGCCAAGAGGTCAGCTGAGGGGGTTTGGTGAATGTCTTGCATGCAGCATGGCAGAGTCATAAATCCTGACAGCACACGGGAGACTGGAGGCGGTCAGGGCTGCGGGGCCAGAAAGGGGCTGGGCGGAAAGAAGCACTCAGAGGGAGGAAAGCCACAGTAGGGAAAACAAATTCATTTTCTGTGTTTGCTGCAGAGGAGCCTGGGGAGCTCCTCCGGTTTACTGGGCATGGTGGGGATGGGTTGGAGGGGGTGGGTTTAAGTGGTCTTTTCCAATCTTAATGGTTCTGTGATACTTTGATTGTGCAGCAGCCCCAAAGGGAACCAAAGGCTCCAGAGAGTTTGTCAAACCATCTTTAACAGATTTTCCAGAATCTGGTGCTTGGCAAAAGGTGCCCTGCAAGAAACCCAGCGGCCAGAGGAAGAGAAAGG